GGCCCTGCCAGACACAGACTGGTGTCTCATGTCTCTCACCACAGACTGAAATTCATTTTGTATATTTGTGAAAAACAGACAGCATACAGTACACCTACACCGCTACATATGGTGAAGTATGATTATATAATTTCAGTTATTCTGATAAGTAATTATTAGTTTTAGCTTCTTGCAGGTAGAAAACATGAACATAAGCGTTTTTGAATTTTATCTGAAAGGCGCTGAAACAGTTATTTGTTGGATCTTTAGTTTGAGGCCATAAAAGACTTCCACAGATTTGATTGCCAAATATTGAAGCACATGTTCACGAGAGGGAAATATACTCATATCTAAATATTGGAAAAATAAAGTTTTCAAATATATAAAGGGTTGGGAGTTATTTAAATTAATAATTACAGATTTGGATGATTTAAAAAAAAGCTGCTCTTTGTTGTCAGATGATTTTTCCCCTTCAGTCCATTTATTAGAGAAACTCTTTACAGGGACTGAACGTGCTCCTGTCCATCGTCTTCACGTTCAGCCCTCCTCTGGTGTCTGAATAATTTATGGTGCCCCTCACGTGAGTCCAAATAACATTCTTGTGAAGCTCGTGAAAAATCTGTGTGATGGCGGAGGGCATCGTCAGGAATCCGCAGACTGAAAACGCATCGAGGCTGCATGCCAGGCCGCCTCGTGCGTAAGGAGAGCATAATAAATGAGAGTTTGAGAGCTCGGAGGGGACTTCCGGAAGCACAATCCTCCTCTGTGATTAGCGCGGAGCACAGGATTCTCTGTGTGGTCGTGGTTAGCACAAAGTAGCCCCCTCACTGTAAAGAGGAGCAGGTTTAGTTCAGGGACGGTGGAAACATGGAAAATTAAAAGGAGAAAATAAGACAAAAAAGAACCCTGATTTAGTCTAGTGCACAGAAGAATTACACTTCCTATTTAATAAATATAATACTTTACACGGACGAGAGTTGAGGGATTATTTCATAAAACACAACAAATAATAAAAAACTCACATTACCCAATAAGTCAGACAATGGGCAGCAATCTAACCTAATTTAATAAGACCCTCGCTTCTGTTTTTAAAGAAGCTTTCAGCCATTTATCTCGGTCTTTCTCGGTGCTCAGTAGATGCAGTTTATTGTCTACATTATATTTTTTATATTTATAATTCATTGTGTTGTATGTCAGAAGTGAAAATCAGCCATTTTTCCATTCACTTCCGGTTTGTTGGCCTCTTCTTGCGGTCCTTGTCTCGCTTGATTTTAACACAAAAGGAGAACTATTAATTTTTATTGTGACGTCATTCGCATTTTAGACATTTAAATCACCGGAAATGAAGTGAAGAATCATCCGTACCGGGACTAGTGAAGCAGCAGAGACTGTTTTAAAAAAAATAAAAAAGATGTAATTTAAGACGGGAACGTGATCGTCCGCCTTGGCACGAGACATAAAACAATTTTCCGGGATGGATCTGAGCATTAAGAAGCGCGAGGAGGAGAGGACGGGGGCCGCGTGACTGGTAGCCGGAGTGTTTGACAGCTCGTGAGACATCAGAGGAGAACCAGTGTGAGGGACTAAGAAAGATAAACACACACTAAGTCCAGTTTTTATAAAATAGTTCTGAACAACATGGCGTTATTTTCTGTCTCTCTTAAAACGGTTAAAATGTGTTTAAGTATCTGGAATAACAAGTTCACACACACTTGATCTTGTTTACACACACACACATTATTCCTTCAACAATCATACATTCATCTGTCTGAGTCTTATCTTAGTCTTTCTGTATTTCCTCGCTTCTTGGACATGTTTGGCAGTCTGTCAGTGAGTTCTCACAGTTCACTGCTTCATAGAAGTCCATTAAGTCATTTCAATGAAGAGTCTTGTTTCAGTTAAATCTCACTCTCTTCATCTTTTAATTATATTCGGTCAGCGCCACGTTCCCTAACTGGTTTCATTCACATAGTTTTCAATGTGTTATTTGGCCGTTAAATCTGACTTGAAGTTTGTTTAAGTCATCTTTGTGTCGTTTAGTTTTAATTCCTGATTTATAAAACTTGATAATTAGCAGATTGAATAACTTCTGATTCGGAGTTTTTCTGTCGTGTTGTTTCATGTCATGTCTTTGCAGCGTTTGTTTGTGATCAGCGTGTTTGTCCTAAGTGTGTCACGCGAGAAACACACTTAGGAAAACAAAAACATTTTCACTAATATTTGATTGTATTTAATTCACCTGTCCTGCACACAAGCTGCCCGGCCCTCGTGGGTTTGTAAAACACCAGAACTATAGTTTCATCAGTCAAACAATTCACTACAAAGTTATCACACAGTTGCAGGTTCCGTTCACAGCTCGTGGACTCAGATTAAATCGGCTTCAAAAAGGTTTCCCTTCAAAAGCAAAAACTGTAGCCCGACTGTTTGGTTCAGTTTGATGTCTATTCCCTTTGAAGAGAACTTAATACCAGAGACTTTCAGGATCTTAAAGGGGAAACTGAAGGTTTGAAATACTGCACTGAACGGGTTTTATACCCGGGTTAACTATTTGTCATGGATCTTTGGCCCATATCTAGTAATATTGTAGAAATTTGATTCAATTTAAAGGATACTCCTCAAGATCATGCATATTAAGTTGAGCAAATATAAAATGTCTGTGTTCATGTGAGAGTGTGTGTGGTGTAAAATAACCAACAAGGACTCTGATAATGAACCTTGGGAATGTTTGTATCCACGACCCTTTTTCACTCACACCCATCCTGCCTGGAAAATACAAGGGCGGGGGACGACAAAGATTTTCTTGTACCCAAGGACGCATATTCCATGATGTGTGTGTGTGTGTGTGTGTGTGTGTGTGTGTGTGTATGTGTGTGTGTGTGTGTGTGTGTGTGTGACCTTGTACATTTACTTCTTGGATAATGTTAGCACACACGGGTCTTTTCCCAGCTCTAAATCCCACATTGAAACGGTTTTACGCACACGATAGTCGTGCGTAAAAGTGTCAAAACAAACGTACAGTGATATGAAATGTTTCCTTTCCAACAACAAAAAGAGAGGCAATAAAAGCCTTCTAGGATGAAATGGGAAATTCCCTTCTCAACTTGATAGTTATATATTTTCCGTGTGATCCAGAGGGATGGAAAACATTTGAGTCAGATCAGTTTCACACCTTCAAAAACCGCGTAAACAACCAACATCTGCTGCCCTGCGCCTGATCATCAGTGAAGGCATCACTCAAAACTCCAACTAGACCTTATTAAAGTTTGAGAAATAAGAACCTCACACACGTACACACACACACACACACACACAACCACTGTAAGGAGGTTAACCACTCCGTTTGCTTCCAGATATTTTCATACACATCTGAGTGCCAGCGCGCCATCATTACGCACGCACTGCAGCCACGGACACATCCATTGGGGACTATACAAAAAGTACACACGACTTCGATCGTGCACACACGTTACATCTCACTCAGTCGGTGACGCCAGCACCGTCGCGAGGTCCCTGCCACAACATCACATCTCAAATATCTCAAATACACCGGCGCGCGTTAATACAGCAGCAACGCAGAGAGAGTGAGTGACATGGTAATTACACAGCTCCCTCTCTCTCTCTCCCTTTACCACCCTCGCCCCCTCCCCTCTCTACTTAGCCCCCACTTATAGGCAGCCTTCAAACACTACTTACTTTGCGTCCAGGCTCAGTCTCTCCACCGGGTTTTCCCAGCGTCCACAGCGGCGCAGACCGGAGCTCCCGGGCTCCGCGTGTGAACCGGAGCAGGAACAGCGGCCGGTAGTAGTGGCCTGCTCTCTCTCTCTCACCCACACACACTCCCTCCCTCTCCCGCTCTGTCTCTACTTTACTGACCCCTTTAGGATCCCCGCGAAGCCGTTAAACCGTCACTTGCTTTCTAGAATGTGAAATATATAGTACACTGTCAACTCCCCAAAACCATAAAACTAACTTTATGGACCCCACGTGACCAGAGCAGAGCCAGTGAGAGGTATCAGTCTGAGGCAGGCCTGAGCTTTACGATCAACGTGGAGATAAAAACCCTCATCCGTTTGACATGTAAATGTCAAAGCTGCCTTCTTTTTTATAGTTTGGCCCAAAGCAGAAGGGGGTTAGCTTTAAAAAAAATATATCTCAACACACACACACACACACACACACACACACACACACACTTAGACACACACACAGAGGAGGCAGGAGATGTGTCCAGATGAGGCTCGGAGCAGGACCTTGTTTCCCCGCTATCAGCTCAGAAAAAGAGCCGTTTGAGAGCAGAGAATCTGCAGCAGCATCAGCCGGTGAGTTTAAAAGTTCAGCTGCTTGTTTACAGTTGGAAACTGGGCGAAGGTAACTTAATTTGGCCGGGAGCGGCCTCCGTTAGGGCGGAAAGGGAGGTCGTTTAGAGAAAAGTGACCAATTTGTCTTTTCAGACTCGGCCAGCAGAGATGGAAATTGGCCTGTGTGCATCTGTTCTGTGTGAGTTTAATGCAGCTTGTTCGGTGATTGGTGAGCTGCAGGAGGAGGTTGTCGCCTTGGAAATGTGGCAAAGTGAGGCCTGGAAACCCGAAGACAGGCCTCCGGTTTGCGTCTTTACGCACGGTGCAGCTCGGTGTAACCACCTTGAATCATTTGGTTGTGCTGAAAGCGTTCTGCTGTTAAAATGTCCTTAAATGTGGCTCAGACATATGCACAAGAAGGTTTTATGGACTGTGGTGGACGTTATAAGAAAGTTACGTTTTCTACTTTGATTTGTCAGACAATACGTTTAAAAAAACATGACTATTTTTTTTTAGTCAGATTGATTTCTGTTATTTGACTTTCAGCAGAGTTTGGTTCATGTTTGTAGTTAATTCAAATATTCACAAGAGGTTTTAAATGTTCCCTATTTATTGATCTAATCAGGAGTTTGTTGACAAGCTGAAGATTCTGCTCAACTTTTGGCACGTGTGTGTGTGTTTGTTTGATGCACGAGCAGCTAGTGAAGTCTGTTTTTTTAATGAGTATTGGAAACTTTATTATTGTTTTTTTTTTACTCCAAGTTACAAACAAATACAAAAAGCTCATTGGCAGAAAGCTCACAGGCCTCACAGGACGGTAGCTATTTCCATCACATGCTCTCTCACACTCTCTCTCTCTCTCTCTCTCTCTCTCACACACACACACACACACACACTCTGCAACTACAGATAGCCAAATGGTCACATTTAAAAATGTCAATACATATCTATTTACATCCTTTCTGCAACATGGATTCAATAATTACAATAATAACAATATACAGTTACACTTTTTTTTATGAATAATAGAGCTTTACACAACATTATTGATGGATTCTAAGGGCTGTGTTTAGACAACACACACACACACACACACACACACACACATACATACACACACACACACACACACACACACAGAGGGAGAAAGATTGGTTGGGAGGTAAATAACAGATTAAGGGGGACTCAGACTAATACGCTATATTCGCGTTATTGGCTGTAAATAAGTTACAATAAGAGCACTCATGCTAACTTTTCAAATACGAGACATATAAAACGATACTTAGACATCAAACAACAGGTAGTAGGTAGGATGTAGGTAGTTAGGTAGCATTATTCATCCTCTCCTTCAGACACTTCTTTTTTTAAAACGACGACAACAAACAGGAACACTACTTTGTTTTGTTTTTGTACCACCGTCATTATTTTTTATGTTGCTCTGAAACATCAAAGACCAACAACATGCCGACAAATAAAAAGTGCTGCGCTGCTGTACAGTACTCAGGGAGTGTTTTTAAAATCTAGATTTGGAATCTGCTTGTTTTACATGTTTTCTTCATCACCGTCTCCTCGCGCTCCTCTCTCCACGCGCTTCGTCTCTTCAAGTTTCTTTTAGTTTTGTGTCTTTTGAAGCCTGCACGTGCTTCCCAAAGAGATGGACGGAGGATTTTTTTTGTTGTTGTTGTAATATATTTTTTCAGGGTTGGAAGGCGCTGCCGGCCGAGGAGAGGCTCATGCTTTTCAATTTGTTGTCCTTCTTCCACTTCATCCTCCGGTTCTGGAACCAGATCTTGATCTGTCGCTCGGTGAGGCAGAGCGCGTGCGCGATTTCGATCCTTCGTCGTCTCGTGAGGTACCGGTTAAAGTGGAACTCTTTCTCCAGCTCGAGCGTCTGGTAGCGGGTGTACGCCGTCCGCGCCCGTTTTCCGTCCGGGCCCGTCATATCTGAGGGTTTGGAGCGAACAGAAGGCTGTTAGGGGGGAGGGGGGGGGGGGTGTTTGGGTGCACAGAAACAGCTGATTATTTAGATAAATACACAGTTAGTGTTAAATAAATATAAAAAAAAAACATCCTAAATTAAATATAAGCGTAGCCACCAGCAATGGCCTAAACGCATGTTGGATCAGCCCTCTTTGACGCACATTACGCACTGCAGAGCGGTGTGTTTATTCTTCATGCTGCATTGTAATCTAGTAAATTGTAGCTACAGGTGTTTATATTTTTCTGTCTTCACTCTCTCTTCCACCACACACAAATAAAATGCTGTTTTCACCCATAGTGCCATCAGAACCAACGTGCGTAAAGGCGCAACAAAAGCTCAGCCCCTGATTCTGACAGCCCTCTTTCTCCACACATTTTATTTCCACTCCACAGCCTGCGCTAAAAGATTTGCTTTTATTTGTCACATTACTGTTTTCTTTTTTAACCTCCCCTCTTCACCGTCACCCTCTCAATCCCCCCCTTTTCATTCCCCCCTAGCTCCCTTCAGGGTTTTATTGCCCCGTCCTCTGCCTCACCTCCCTAATAAAGTTCCCACACGTAATAAAGCTTCACTTTTCAAAGGAGCAGCAGCCTCCAAAGCCTTCCTGGCCTCCTCTTTCTTTTTTTCTTTTCCCACCCGGCTCTGTCTGAGCTGCTCAGCCTGTTGGTCTCTGCTGCCCGGCTCTCCTCTCCCCTGACAGATTTATGGCGCTTTTGTGGAATTTGCTAAAATAAAAAAAAGGGAGGGGGGGGGAGAGGGACAGAGGGGGCAAACCATCCGGCGTCCCTTGCTTCTACAGGAGGGAAATGCAAAACAAAAAACAGCCTGATGCTCTGACACGACACGATAACTCCAACAGGCTGTGCAGCTGTCTGTTATTTCATTTCTGATTTTCCAACACGTGAAATAAATATCTGAATAATTTTATCTTGATGAGAACAAAATCAAACAGATTCATTGAGTTCACTGGGAGGCTCAAACACCCTGCTGACTGATTTCTGACAGTCTCATGAAAATATTAAACTGACGCAGTGGAAAAATGCTCGACGGGCTGCGGACAACAACGAGATGTGTGTGTGTGTGTGTGTTTGTGTCAGCAATTTTCTTAACTCAAATCAAAGCAGCAGCGAATTGTAGTGTGTGTACAAACATAAAAAGAGGCACAGAGCACTAAACTGTCACCCCCCCATGTGTCCAAACATACAGGACTCAGCGTTCTGTATGAAACAGATAATGAGGAGCAGCATGTACCATGGTTAATGTGCAGCTTTCTCATCCAGGGAAATATCTGAGGAGAAGCCTCGCTGCCCGCCGTGCTGCCCGCTCCTGCTCCCGCCGGGCCGCCCTCCTGCTTCTGCCTGCTCCTGGGCGGTTGGTTGCTGCCGTGCCCGGTGTCCCGGTTGTGCTGCAGCTCCTCGGGCTCTGGCGACGCGTCATCCAGCTCCGTGAAACGCCGCGTCGAGCCGCCGCCGCCCGAGGAGGAGGCGGAGGACAGGTTTGGTGAGCTGAGGTTAGCGCTTCCTGGTTGCTCGGAGCGGGGAGAAGAGTTCTGTCCACCCAGCTTGGAGTCTTCACTGCCGGGTAACAGGAGGGAGTCTGCCGCAGAGGCGAGGGAGCAGCTGGACGGCTGTCTGAAGCTCCTCTCCGGGGCGGAGGAGCCGAAACCCAGGGAGTCCCCTACGACCGAGCCGCCCCCGAAGTGTCCTCCGGTGTTGGCGCCTCCGCTGCTCCCCCCTCCCCGGTTGGTTACGGTCAGGTCCATGCCATTGTAGCTGTAGCCGTAAGAGCCCGTCGCATGGTGCATGGTGGCGGAGGAAGAGTCCCTGTACGTCCCGCCGTTCATTGCGCCGCTGCTGGCTCCATAATTCAGCAGTTGATAGTCGGGGCCATTTGGGTAGCGCCCCGAGAACGAGTTTACAAAGTACGAGCTCATTTAGGTTGTTTTAGAGAGTTGCAGCTCACAGCTGAGGATAAGGGGCGCTTGATTTGTTAGATTTCTCTTGGTCGTTATAACGCGGGTACTTTCAACGATTTATGATGTATTAGTGAATTATGGCGTTGCACTGTACTTCGTTTTTAGCTATGTATGCGCCGTCCAAATATGGGGGTGGGGTGGTGTGTGTGTTGGATTGAGGGGTGTGTGAGTGTGTGTGTGATGGGGGAGGTGAGGGGTGAGGTGAGGGAGGAGAGAGAGAGAGACGGAGAGAAGGAGGGGGGGTGGTCACGTGCTTTTGTTGACCAGTCGTAAATTCTCGCCGATGACTTTGGAGAGGTAATTCATGCTCTGAGGTTTCTAATGATGAAGGGGTGGGCGGGGGAAGCTCTCTCTCTCGCTCTCTTTCTCCTCCCCCTCTCTCTCTCTCACCCGTTTGTTCTGCTGCTGGAGGTGCCGGGGGTGAGCTCAGAGCGCCACCTACTGCAGACATAATTTATTGCACTGATTAAAAAAGAAAGATAGACTCAGAGAAAGTCGACAGGAAAAAAGTCTCAGAGATCTGTTATAAAATATTCTCCCTCTCTCTCTCTGCGAGTGTGAATGTCTCTCATCACTCAGGCCTGTTCATTGACCTTCTCTGAGGCTGGAAATGAGAAACCTGTGACCATAAATAATGATAAATAACCCCTAAATATTCAGCTCGTCACAAAAGACGATAATAATATCTCTGCTCCTTCAGCTGAGAGTTCAGGGTTTTCTTTTGCAACTCAGCCAACAAGAAAAAGTAACAAGTACAATAATAAAAAATATATTTAAAATAATGATATAATCATTAGAATAATAACAACAACAACAAGTGGTGTCCGGAACGTCATAAATATGAAGAAAGTCTCACTGTGCCATATTTGGCACATCACTGCGTCATTACGCACGCCTGTGGCACAGCTGTGACCAGATGTAGTTACGCAATCATGGCACGTGAACTGTCCTCTCTAACAATCAACAGACCAGAGGCCTCAATCACTTCTTCACTTTAACAATCTCATTTAAATTCATCTCAATTATTTAACTTTAATATTTACATCAATCCCATCATTTTCTATTTTTTTTGTACTTTCTCTTGTCACGTGAGACCCTCTGCAGAATGATTATTCCCTCTCAGACATGTTCAGAGCCAGACATGATGACAGCTAACTGTCACAACACCAGCTTTAACACACACACACACACACACACACACACACACACACACACACACACACACATCTAGAAATATTCACATAAACAGTCAGACTCTTGTCAGATTTGACCTACTGTTCCTCTCTCTCTCTCTCTCTCTCTCTCTCTCTCTCTCTCTCTCTCTCTCCCTCTCTCTCTCTCTCTCTGTGCACTCTCTCTCTCTCTGTGCACTCTCTCTCTCTCGCTCTCTCTCTCCCCCCTCTCTCTCTCGCTCTCCCTCTGTCTCTCTGTCTCTCTCTGTGCACTCTCTCTCTCTGTGCTCTCTCTCTCTCTCTCCCTCCCCCCTCTCTCTCTCTTCCCCTCCAGCTGCAGAGGAGGAATGTTAAACCTGATCTGTGACGTCCACACTGGATGGAAATCTGCTGATTTATGATTTGTTGATTCCTGGCTCGGGATGCATTTCAGCCGGGGTGCCTCTGAGAGTGTGAGTGAGTGTGTGTGTGAGTGAGTGTGTGTGTGTTGCAGTAGCCCTCACTGTGCAATCGGGTGTGCATGTTTCATTCTGACACACACTCGTGTTCATGCACACAGGCTCAAACATGGGACAGATGAAGAGTTCCAGATTTGTGTGTGTGAAATGATACAAATGAATGCTGTGGGGAGTGTGTGTGTGTTTGTGTGTGTGTGTGTGTGTGTGTGTGTGTGTGTGTGTGGTGTATGTAGTGTCAGGCCACATTTCAGACACTCAGCTGCTCTCACACTGAGTCTACAACACAAACCAGCAGTTTGGAATGGAAATCATCTCGACTGAGTCGAGTGTCCAGGCGGGTTAGAACAACTGGAACAGGCTGAAAGTAACAAACGGAGATCAGGTTTATTATCTTACACTCTGCAGGTTTGATATCCACACTAAATCAGCTCTCAGCCTGAATGTTAGCGCAGGCCAAAGTGTGCGAGGAATGGCCTGCAGGCTGCAGAAACGATGAGGAGGAGGCAGAGACCCAGTTGGCACAGAGCTCTGGACATACTCCTCTCGATATATTTAGATTTCCACCATCACACTGAATATTTGTACCATGAACCGGCCTACAGTCCAAACTAAAACCTCTGTTTCACACGAGTGGAAACAATGTCCATCATTTTCTTAGATTGAATAAAGATTTAAAAAGTGAAGAAGAACATTTGCCTTTGTAAAAACTACTTCAAGTCTTGCACACTGTTTGAAATCTAACTCGTCATGTTAAAGTTTGCACATGAATCCCTCTTAGCAGAGAAACCAGCTTCACCTGCAGACACATTCTAAATCTGCTTCAAACAGTTTATGGATAAAATCATCGAGATAAACGGCAGACATTGTCACATATAGTTGCACAAATGTGTGCTCACTTCGTTGTCATCTGCAGAGTGCTTAGATCCTCGTTTGGAGCTGCGTACAGATGTTTAAAAGCCTCCACTTTCAGACTATTTCATATTTCAACTCAAATCCAAACATGTCTTCTCCAGCAATCTGAATCATCTCAGAACGTCAGAGAGTTAATAAAGCAGCTTTTATAAAGTCTAGAAAACTTTGTATTTTCAGAAACAAAAAGTTGAAATGGAGAAAATAAAGATCTCAAACTTCCTGTGACAAAATATAACAAACACAGTAAGAGTGTAAATCAGTGCTGAGGGTCAGAGTGAGACATGTTACAGTTATGATTACTGCAGGTTTCATGTCCAGAAGAGAGGATCTGAAGTTGACTTTATCTCTGTTCTTGTTTGTGAACATTTCACTGAAACGCAGCGGTGCTATGTAATCACATTACATGTTGACTGACTGACTCTCCGAAGCTCAGACTGAATCTTTTCATTTCCTCATCGACTCACTGACAGGCCGAGCTGCAGAATGCAAACCATCCAAACTTCATATTCTTAATTCAACACACTTTACTCAGGACAACAAGTGAATGTATCCAGCATGCAGAAATCAAATATTAGATACTGGTAGCATTCTGCTCACAAACTAAATGTTAGACTTTTATAGATTATGAGTCATGTTACTGATTATATTATATTTTATATTAACAACTAAATCTCACAGGCTGCATGTTGTTTCAAATAATTGAGGATGTTCTCTCAGTGCAGTCCTCATAAATCTGCTTATTTTAAATATGTAATAATATTAAGATGAGTTTTACATTTGTAGCTTTGAATGAACCAAATTGATGTTTCCAAATGTTCAGATTAGTGGAGTCTGTTAAAATGAGAGCTTCTTAGAAAATTATAAAAGTATTTTCTTCTTTTTAAAGCCGTTTTGTAAAGTGTAATCTTGAATGTTGCAGCGCCATCATTAGGACAAAAAGATAAATAAGATGTGTTTATCTTTATTTTGGAGAGTTTTATTTGTACACTTTAACAGCAGAAATAGAAAAGAAGATTAAAACAGACGAGTCTAAAATCAGAAGTTTGTCTCCAAGTTCAGTGAAGAGGGGTTTGTTGTTGTGTTGTGATTGTTGTCGTAATTAAACGTGTTTGAGTTCATCATTACTCTGATCATTATTTTAAGGAGAAAGCATTTATGTGTTGAGGCGCGTGCATATATCTGAGATCCCGAGAGAGAGATCATGGGGCCCGCGCGCCGGTCACCCAGAGGACACGCAGAGTTCAAAGGGTCACGAGGACATTGTCCACTTTGTCTGGGTGAAGTGTGTGTGTGTGTGTGTGTGTGACCTGTAAGGCTGGCCGGCTCGAGGACAGGTCAACTTTCTCTCTCTTTCTCTCTCCCTCTCTCTCTCTCTCCTTCTGGTCATCAATTAGTTCAACCCGCCATCAGCAGCAGCTCGCGCCCCGTGTCACTTCCCCACAGAGTGCAACAGCTCGTGCGCTCACTCTGCTTCGGCCTCGCGGACTCAAATCGTAAAATATAGATCCCTGAATCATCAATAAATAAATAAATTAAAAACAACCTCATTCATCTCTTTACATTTTATTGACGTTTCTCAGGTAGTTTACGTAATTACGTGACAAAAAACACGAACATAAACAATGTAAAAATCCATAAAATAAACAAATAAACACTTTCCTGAACGCTTTAGGTAGTTTGGAGAATAACATCAGTAGGTTTACAACCCCCCCACCCCACCCCACCCCCAACCCTCTATACTGGAAAAGTCAAACAGCTGGAAGGTAAAATTACCCCTAATACCCCCCCCCCCAAATGTACATTATCTCCACCGTGCACGGTGTTTTTATCCTATACAGTTTAAATATGAACACAGTATGACACAGGCCTACACACACTTCTCTAAGAGCTTTGTCCTCCCACATTATGCGTGTGCGTGTGTGTGTGTGCGTGTGTGTGTGTGTGTGTGTGTGTGTGTTTGCACGTTACTTAAAGGTATAATTAATACACACACACACAGCACGTTACAAAATAAGAAAATAAAAATATTGAGGCGGGAAGAAACAAAAAACAAGTGCCTGCAGAGAAAGTACATTGAATGAAATAATAATCATAAGAAGAAGAAGAAGGTAGAATATGAAGTTAGGTAGTTTCTTTTTGGAATGCAACAAGAAAATGTCTCAGATTGATTTCTTCGATATTTAAAGACATTTTGGATGTTTGATCTCGTCCCTTTAACACCTTCCTTTAGTTTTTTAAGATCTGATTTTTGTTTTCGGCTCCTTCTGGAGAGTCTTTCTCTTCGGCTCTGATGACCTACAGATACATCGTGTGGCAGGAGGTGATATAAGAACGAATCTTCCTCTCCTTCTTTCCTCCATGTTTCTGCTCCGGTACAAAAATTAAATAAAATCAAAGGTTTTCTCCCAGAGTTTTCACACCAGACAAACGTCCGGACAAACTTTAAGATGTGGAGGTGAACGGATACACCAGCAAGTCTTTTCTTCCACCCTCCTCTTCCGGTTTTTTATTTTTTATTCTGTCTTCATTCATCAGTCCGTTTCTCCTCTTCTTCCACTCCGTTCACCGTGGAGGAGGAGGAGGAGGAGGAGGACGACGAGGAGGAGTTGATGAGCTTGTTCTCCTTCTTCCACTTCATCTTCCGGTTCTGGAACCAGATCTTGATCTGCCGCTCCGTGAGGCAGAGTGCGTGCGCGATCTCGATCCTTCTCCGTCTCGTGAGGTACCGGTTGAAGTGGAACTCCTTCTCGAGCTCGAGGGTCTGATAGCGCGTGTACGTCTGACGCCCGCGCCTCCCGGGACTGCCGAAGGTCCCTGAGAGAAGAAGAAGAAGAAGAGAGTATGAGGGTTCATCTGAAACTGGAACTTCACTCCATCTTTTAATATTTAGGTTTCTTTAAATTCCCCACAGAGAAATTAAATAAAGTTAAATAAATAAAAAAACTCCAGCTTTCTAAAAGAAGAAGATTTTTGCCGGAAGTGAAGTCTCACTATGAAGCTTTATTTATTTATTTAAATGTTTATTTCAGACAGATAATACAGATTCATTTTAATAGAAGGCAAAGCATGAAAAGATGACGCGGAACTAAATCAAAACGTCATTAAACCTCTTTAAATATCTGAATAATCTATAATAATAATAATAATAATATTAATAAGTCTTCAGAGCTCTATGATCCTCACTGACAGTTTATATTTTTTTGCCCCCGGTTGTAAACAAATCGCCATGTTGTCAGTTTAGCAGCTTCAGTTTCTTTATCGACCCGTGAGAGCAAACCGCACATATCTACAGCTCACAAATCCATAAATAAAAAACGTCAGATGAAGCAGATTATGGAGCAGCTCTCGGGCTTTTTTTTGTGCCACTCTGTTCCTTCTCCAGCCTCCATTTCAATCCTCAGCCTGTCATTTAAAGGTTTGATTCTCTGTTTCCACCTCATCTGTCTGAAGAGTCCTGCAGCTCTGCGTCACCCGGGACAGACTCAGCCGGCTTTAAAACAGCACATTTATCCTTTAATTAAAAAACAGGCATTAAAAAAGGCCGGCCTCGTGCTTTAATAAATCAGTACACGCGCTGACCCCTGCATGGTGACTTTACGCACGAGCTGCATTATGAGTCTAATATCTAATCTGCTCGGTTATGAATAAACAGCGCTGACAGAGGTTAACAGAGAGAGCTCCACGGGAGATAACAGAGCTGCTCTTCTGTGTTTGAAGTTTGAAGAAAGGAGAAAAAGACACAATATCAGGCTGAGAAGTTTCATGTTCTACCTGTTTGTGCTCATTTCTAACCCGGGTAAAAGAATAAGAAGTGAGGGACAGTAAGATGAAGTGTCTGCAGAGCTGCATGCTTTGAGTTTCCTCTCTCTCTATCTGTCTCTCTATCTGCTGCCTGTGTTCACCCACAACACTCCCTGACAGCCTCTTCCTCTCAGCTTTCTCGGTAGCAGCTCCGGTCAGCAGGTCACTACAGTAACAGGAGCCAGAACCCAAACAAACCCGGTTTATGACGGACAATAAAGAAGCGAGCACATGACTGAGTGACAGGCCAACAAACGGGATCATAAAGCAGCTCGTGGGAGAGGAGGAGCAGGAAGAGGAGACAGCAGAGGAAACAAACGTCACTTTTTATGACGGGATCATAAAATATGTAGAACTAGAGGAAGACACTCACCGTTACACGCGTTCATCCGCTGCATCCACGGATAAATCGGCGCTGATGATTTGTCGTCCATCGTTTCACCGAACAGCCCTTTGCCGCTCAGCCCCGCGCACTCCACTTTCCGGTGCATGCCGTCCTGCGTCAGCGCGAGCTGGTGCTCCTCCAGGCTGCACGGGAGCTCCTTGTCCCGGTAAAAACTCGTTGCCGCTGCTGCCGCCGCCGCCGCTGCTGCCGCGGCATAGTCGCAGGTGCCTGCTCCGGCTGCGCCCCCTACACCGACTCCCGCTGCCGCCCGGTGCCCGCCGTACGCTCCGTTTGCAGCCTGCTGGTAGTAAGAGGACGCAGAGTACGCTTTATCCTGGTGAACACCGCCACTGGCGCCGTACGCAACGGCAGCGGCGGCGGAAACGGCCGCCGCCGGGTAGTGCCTGAGCGGGTGGTCGGCGGCGTATCCCGACGAGTAGAGCGGGATCTGACCCAGGAACGACTCCGCCGCCGCCTGGCCACCGCCTCCCGTTCCCGGTATTGTCACCGGGAAAGAGGAGTTGACAAAATAGGAACTCATCGAGAGAAAGTGAAGGAGGATGAGAAGAAGAGAAAAGGAGAGGGGAGGACAGGAGGGCACGAGACAAACACAACAACAAGGTTCACGCGCTGAAGAAGAAGGAGGAGGAGTAGAAGGAGGCTAACAGCTAACGGCTAACGGTTCTCCCTCCCGTCCTCCTTCCCCTGCCTGCACTTTATGATTTGTTGTGTTTTATAGCCGACAGTCCGACGGGCTGCTGCTATCACTTAGTTTATCGCAGATTGGGAGGAGGGGGTGAGGAGGGTGAGGGTGAGGAGGGGGGGCAGCTGGGTGGCTGAGTGCCAGTGTGGGACAGAGAGAGAGAGAGAGAGAGAGAGAGAGAGAGGGGGGAGAACAGGAGAGAGAGTATGTGTGTGTGTGTGTGTGTGTGTAAGACGGGATGGGGTGAGGAGGGGGATAAGGGGGAGGCAGAGACCAGCTGACCTCTCACTGACCAATAGGGAGCTTCCGTGCCTGGCATTCGTTCGCCCCTTTTCCTTTCGTTGGAGAGAGGAAGAAGAGAGGGGGGGGGGCTGGGAACTACCGAGACTCCCCTCCCTCCCTACCCCACCTCACCTCTTTCTCTATCTCCCTTCTTCAATCTCCCTCTCTCCCTCTCTTTCTAATTCTCATCCAATCTCTTCAGTATTTTCTGCGCTTCCCGGTGAGATTGCGCAATCACACCGGAATCCTCCGCGCGTTAAATTGATTCTTTCTCTCCCTGTGTGTCTTCCTCCGTCTGTTGTTGGACCCATAAAACCAGCACACACACACACACACACACACACACACACACACACACACACGCGCGCGCGCGCGCAGCCCCTTGGGGAGGGTTGCTGCTGCACCAACCGAATAATAAAACATATTCCCGGCGCTTTGCGGATAATACCGACCGCATTAAAATGAATTTGGAGAGTGTAAATCACTGCCGGGGGCGCGCACGGCTCGTGTGTGGTTCCGTGCGTGTGTGTGTGAGTTAGTTCACAGTGTAAAGTGTATTATGGAGATGTTTGTGCGGTTATAATTGGTATATTCCGCCGGGTGTTTAGATGTATATGTCACACAGGCTGCTTTCTGTTTGTGTGTGTCCTCTCTTCTCGCCATCAGAGGAGTGTGTGATAATCTAGAAGACTTTTCTGAACATGATCTCAGAGCTGTTCGACTTTTATTGATGAGACAGAACCGGCTTCTTTCCCGTGTCCTGCGCTGTGAACGGGTCTCTGTGTCCTGTCCCGGGATGTGTGTGTGTTCAGTAAAGTGTTCCACTTGTGTTTAATCAGCGTGAGCGGTGAATTATTATTTTCAGCCTCTGTGACGTTGATTAGGATGAAATGTAAAAGGAGAGGAGGAAAGGAAACAGTCCACAAGTTGTTCTGATTTTTTTTCTTCCTTTTTCCTGACACTGATTAGAACTCAGCCTCGCGCCTCAAATTCTCTCCACGAGGGCCACTTCTCCCCAGGTGAAAAATATAAATCAGCCTCGATCATTCAGACTCTAAAGCGAGGAGGAGATTTTATTTCCAGCAGACTAAACTATGACTCAATATTAAATGCTGTTTAAACTTTGAAAGCTTGTTCTCTCATTTCTAAACATTAAAAACTAAATAATTAAAATAACTCAAATAAATGCGATGAAAAATTCAAGCACACATTTATATATTTAATGAGGGATTAATGGCGTGGAATAAAGAAGCTCCTTTTTATTCTTTATTTCTAATTAGTTTTTTTT